TACTCTTCAAACTCATCACTTTGGCAAGCCCTTTCTCTAGAGTCGATGGGAATTGTAATAGCCTAAGAGTATGCCCTGTTGGGGCTGTATCAAACACTATTACCGAGTAGTCCATGGTTTGCACCAATCTGGAAAGAAACAAATGGAAAAAAGTTATAGCCCGATTTGATTAACAAGCCAGCAGTGTTAACCGACTGACAAACAAATATATCGGCCTCTAGACAAATGTAAGAAAGTAGTCACATTTAAGCACTACGGATGTACCATAAGAAAATGAACTTCGAACCAAAAATATTAGAAGGATCTCAACAAATTAATGAATCAGATGTTCAGGAAAAAGAATAGTCATGATGATCACTTTCAGTTGAAATAACATCCCTTATCCAATTTCGTTTATATCTAGTGATGTGTCAATTAGAGGGGTCGTTAATTAGTGCAATTTGGTACCTCCTTAAGCTGACGCTTATGCATCGTCTAGTGGAACCACTCTTTTCCTTCTTTCAAATTCAAGACGGGCTCTTACATATGTGATGGAGGGCACAAGTTATGGATCCAGATCCACAGACACCCTATCGGGTTGCCTTCCCGGTCTCCCCCAGGGTTACCCCTAAATTATGAAGTGCATTGAGATAGCTGTCCCCAATCCCTCTTCTAGTGGGGTCTAGTACGGTGAAGTTAGGGGCTCTTTTAATATAGGATAGGGTCTCTTGGATTAAATGGATCAGGCCAACTAGGTCTATATACTTTTTTGATAAGCGACTAGGCCTAAATACTAAAAGACAGTTTTTTTTATTTCATCCAGAGTAGGAAGCTTTTTCTAGGATCTCCTAAACTAGACCAGTATTGAGTCCTCTATATACCACAAAACAAAGCAGATCTTGATCCATGGATGTATAAACAACTATTGAAGGTTGGTTTAATATCTTATTCTCCTGATAAGCAAGTGAAGGGTAATTTGATCCGAGGAGCTCCAACCATAGACCAAGTATGACGTAACCATGAACAACAAAATACGTTCTTTGTGTATTCGTGCACAGAATCTTCCAAAACCTAGACTTTTTGTTTATGGGAGATATATTATATTAAAACTATATAAAGTGCCGGAAGAGCTACAAGTGATCCCTATTGTGGCAACTAAATTACTGCTCAATGTACATTCAAGGCCATCGACTAGATAAGATACTGTAAATTGGTTCAATCTTTTCATCCAGTGTTTAGGGGATACGATATATCCAAAGAGCCTTTCATACAGTGCAGTAGACTAATTTTACATCATTATCCTCAGCATTCCATGCTACCATAAATGCGTAGAATCAAATGAGGCTTAGTGCAAGAATAAATCTTTATCACTTTCAAATAAATTGGGGGTTCATAAAACATTTATCCTCAAGAAAGTTAACAATCATGGTATTTATTACAAAGGAATACCAATTACTTTAGCATCTCCGCAAAGCTCATAGCTTCATCAATCCCTGGAATTGCATTTGTCAAGTCAGACAAAAAGTCATCCATCCCATCTGAACTGACTGAGTCTTCTTTCTCCACAGTTGGATCAATTTCCTAAAGAGCACAACTTTAATCAAAAAATCATGACAGCAACAGCATATCAGGTAAAAACAGAAATTGACCATACATTCAAACTGCCATAAAGTTGTCACAAATTATTCAATAAAGGCCACTCTTTGAATTCAATACACACCAATATAAACACGAGACTTAAACTTGGTAACGCTGAGTACTACTTAATACAAAAGGGCCGAAAATCATATCCAAAAAGCCACTCCTCCACACCCACTAAATT